GGCCTCAAATTCCATTTTGCTTCACTTATTCTTGATGAGTTAGACAATGCAGGTTGGTTGTAGAATCATTATGCGCAAATTTATTCTGATTCAGAAGAGGGTCTCAGTCCGTATTTACGGTTTGAGTACTGCAAGAGTCTTTTGTGGAAGTGTTGTTCGAATCTAGGAGTAATCTTTTCTTTATCACTACTCATTGGAGCAATCCGTTTACAGTTTGCCTTTTTTCTAGATTTGCGTTTTGAATTATCACACATGCATCAATCACAATTGCAATTGCTGATTCTAAGTGTTAGCTGACATGCTGATCACGAAAATCAGATCATTGCAGCTCCTTAGTGAGAAGACATAGGTGTAGGTTAGGCAGTAAAAATCATGATTCGCCTGAGAAGTTCCGTAATAGGATTTTTGAGATTTCGCATGCTAGCGCCTTATTGCGGACTTATGAGTTCACTCTATCGTACTAGTAAACGAGCTGATAGTCAAATTTGAGCAATCGTTTATTCTATTCCTTCTCTTCTTCTCGATCATGCCTAACTCATCCGTAGCTTTATAGGTTTCCGAACAATCTTCATTAAGTTTTTATCTGGAAATAAAGCATCATTAACTAAGTTCTATATCTAAAAAAACTTGCGTGAGAATTATTGAAAAGGTCATTCTGCAGCTTGCATTCTTTAAAATCTGAGGTTACTTTAACATTATACGATGAGATTTGCAACTTGAGGTGGTCTCAACAAGAAACAAGTGACTGCTTGCCTTAAACCTTTCGCTGATCTCCTTGCCGTTCGATCCATTAGGTAGGAATGAAAACTTTTGATATACTCAAAGCCTTTTCTTTTCAATCGTATGTCGCAGACCAACATAGATCATTTAGTGACTACATGTTTGATTCCATCGCAGAGGAGGTCTTTGCCACAATTCTTCATCAGAAATCGGAAGAAATAGCTTCAAAAATGGAGTCAGATGATGCTGATGACGGTCCGCCACCTGGGATTCAGGTAACAAGGTTATCTGATTATTATTTCGGCGCACTTTCAGTTAGACTTGATTTCAGATTGTATTTAACATAACAATAAAACAATCTTCCTAATGAAAGCCATTTAGTTCGATTATACAGCTTTTGGAAAAATGTTGTTTGACATCGGCAAAAGACCGGAGACGATCTCGAGACGAAGGAGGAAGCTATACGATTTAGTAAAGAGGTAATTCTTAGGCTCACCTGTCAATAAAGGCACCTCACTATTGCGTTATCAGATTTGATGTAGCTGCAAAGGGAGGCGATCCATATCACTTCGAAGTTCCTGTGCCCGAAATAGTATGTCTTCATTTATATATTTGTAGTGGTTCTTTGTTCAATTCTATCTTTTTCTCAAGAACTTCTCAGTTTGATGAAAATTGAGCAAATGGCTCCATAGATTTAGTATGGCTTGTTATCTTTCAAGTTTGTGCTTTATTGGTCTTCACTCCTATCGTTTCATCTGCTTACGTTTCTCTATTATCATTAATCCCAGAGAAAGAGGAATCTAACTGGAATTACTGTTTCCCTATCGCAAGTTTCGCAAGGTCGAAATTGATTCTTTTTTTCAATTTAAGTGATACTCATCTTTTTTTTTCGTAATCAGTTCTCTGGATAATTAGCTGTCAGATATTGCATGTTTTTACCACGGTGTAACTATTTCGTTCTTCCTCCATGTATTATTGGCAGGTGTTAACGCCTAACGATTATGAAGAAGCAGAGAAACGACTGCTAAAAATGAATGAGGAAGTCGCAATTGAGCGGAAGCGAATGAAGTTGGAGAGAAAGTAAGTGACTTTTTTCTGTTTACTTCTCTGCCAAGCGTTTC